TTGAAAAAGGTGCACTTTTGATGATCTGTTGTGATATAAGTACTAAGAGTTTTGAAAATGTACCAATTGCTTGTGAAAACTGCGCCAAACCAATTTAAAAAAACTGTAAAGCAGTAGTACTTTAAACATGATATCTTATTACAGGTTTTCAGATGACAGCATAATATATTTAAATATATAATTTGTTTGCTGAATTTGCTGTTGTAACTCAGAAAGATTAAAGGAAACTGTTGCATCAGGGGTTTTTTTGTTAAGCGTAAACATTTGTTTTTCGAGTCTAAGCTACATTTGTTGAGTGTGGAAACCTTCCCAGAGCAGCAGAAGTCTCTGCAGTACAAGAAGAATAAATACAAACAAGTGGAGAAAACATGCAAGTGAACACTCCAAGAAGCAGCTGTTGTCCAAACTTGAATGATTCTGATTACATGACTTTTGAAACATTTTGAATGTGAACAGTAAGCTGTGGCATGTCTTAAAAGGATTCATGATTAAACTCGTGTCACATCAGGAAAAGAAAACTTTAGCTACACCAAACCAACTTTGGTCTACTGTACTTTTTGAAAAAGTACAGAAAAGGCTCATTTGAATAAAATAAATTAAAATCAACTCTCATACTGTAGCCAATGAAAAGAGGTGGGTTTACGAATCAGAGATGTTAATTATCCTGCTCATCAGCATCTTCTTGATTTTTAGTATGTCTATTTAAAAAAGAATTTCAGTCAAATACCGGTGTAACTAGACTTGATTGAGTGGATTACATACCTTCTTCTAGCTGTGTTATTCTTAACTTTAATCAACAAATGCGTCTTATAGTTTCTGCTCATTAAATGACCCAATTTAGTGAAGTTGGATGAAATAAACAGTCATGCTGACATATTGGAAGATTGTTTCCTATAACACTGGTTCATATAAAACTTGTAAAACTGGTTTAACATCATTCAGTATGTTGAAATGCTCCCTACCAGAGTGAAACACCACAAGTCTGACTTGCTTTGAGTCATTTTTACATATTATTTAGTTGAAATAACACATGAGAGGTCATTACCTTAGATATGTTCCCTTTTGTTTTGGTGTGTTTATTGAGCAGATATCTACTTGGAAACAGGAAAATGGATATCTTGACAATACCCTGTCATCGGTGTTTTGCGGAGACAAATGTTATGACAGCATTTCCTGCTGGTAAGAATTTACCCTTTGACTCAGATGAATGAAAATGAAAGTAAATTTCAACACTACTGAACAAGCTGAAAGACTTAAGAGATGTCAGATCTCTGCTGAAAAACAGACATTTGGAGGGTGTTAATCAGACAGTTCAAAAGGGAGCAATTTGGTGAGTAAGAAAGAAAGCAACTTTAATGTAAATGGCTGAGAGAAGGCTTCTTGAAAATTTCCTGAGCTGCCATGTGTGTTCAGAGACTTTCAGAGATCCTGTGTCTCTGAGCTGCAGCCACAGCTTCTGTTCAAGCTGCCTGCAACAATTCTGGGAGCAAGCTAAAAGCAAAAACTGTCCCATTTGTAAAAGAAAATCATCAAAGGATTGTCCACTTGTGAACTTTACACTAAAAAACCTTGCTGATTCATTTGCTGGCACGCAAAAAGATGGATTATCTGAGACAGCAACAGGAGAAAAGAAATTAATGGCAGTGTGCAGTAAACACGATGAAGAACCTAAACTGTTCTGTGTGGACGAGCAGAGAGCTGTGTGTCCTGTGTGTGAGTTTTCTCTCCACCAGAGTCACAAAGTGGTTCCTGTAGAAGAAGCAATCAGTGACCTGAAGGAGCAGCTGAAATCTGACTTAAAGTCTCTGCAGGACAAGAGGAACAAATACAAACAAGTGGAGGAAACATACAATGAGGTGATTCAACACATGAAGAAGCAGCTGTTGTCCACAGAGAGGCAGATCAGAGCAGAGTTCAACAAGCTCCAGCAGTTCCTGAAAGAGGAAGAGGAGTCCAGACTGGCAGCTCTGAGGGAGGAAGAGGAGCAGAAGGGGAGGACTATCAGCAGAGAGATGAAGATGATTGAGGAGCAGATCTCCTCTCTGTCAGACAGCATCTCTGCTGTTGAAGAAGAGCTGCAGAAACACAGCGTGCCATTCCTCAGCAGTTATAAAGACACTCAGAGCAGAGCCAGAGCCCAGAGCTCAGTGTCAGATCCACAGCTGGTCTCAGGAGCACTGATAGATGTGGCCAAACACCTGGGCAACCTGTCCTTCAGAGTGTGGGAGAAGATGAAGGAGAAGGTCCACTTCAGTCCTGTCATTCTGGACCCAAACACTGCAAGTCGCTGTCTATATCTGTCTGATGATCTGACCAGTGTGAGACATGGAGGACAGACATGGCAGCAGCTTCCAGACAATCCAGAGAGAAATAATTATAGTGCTAGCGTTTTTGGCTCTGTAGGTTTCAGTTCAGGGAAACACAGCTGGGGCATGGAGGTCGGAGACCATCCTGACTGGCTTGTGGGTTTAGCTAAAGAGTCAGTTGAGAGGAAAGGAGAGCGATTTGCTTCAGGAGACTATGGAATCTGGTGTTTAACCCATCGCAGAGGATCATACGGCAATGGTCTTAGTCAGAATGTGACAGTGAAGAAGAGTCTCCAGAGGATCAGAGTCCAGCTGGACTATGACAGGGGGGAGGTGTCCTTCTATGACCCTGAAGACATGACTCCCATCTACACTCACAGAGACAATTTCACTGAGAAACTCTTCCCATATTTCAGTGTTGGAAAGGCAGGAGACGCCAAAACCTGTGATATCAAAATCTGTCAGACTGAGATTTTTTTTGTAAAGTGATTCTTTTTTAACAGTCTGTGTGGTCATTTTTCTTGAAGGTTTTTCCTAAACTGGAAGATGAGATTTTCAGTCCAAAAACAGTGAGCACAATTGGCCCTAGGGGAAATTTCTTATTTATATCATGTAAAGTACAATATATTGCCAAAAGTATAAACTTGCTTGTCTTCAAACATATATGAACTTGAGCTACTCTGGAGATCACACGAAGTTACGCGCAAGAAATCTCCTTTCTTAATTTGTTTTCCCCACTTATAGCTTCAACTGCTTAATGTTATCATGTTTATCAACATCTTGTTTTCCGTCAACTGTAGCATATGTGTCAGGGTCAGGGGTCTTACACCCAGAGTTTTGAGATTTCTTATTAGACTTATTTAGTGTCCTTGTTTGTTTTCTTAGTTTGGTTATACAGTTTGATTTTCTTGTTTGTGTTTTTGATTATCTTGAGCATTAATTCTTAGTTCTGTTTTAAGTTTGTTTTTCATTCTACTTGGGATTTATTAAACATTAACCTTTGTTACTTTCATAGCCCGCGACTTTATGTATAGATTTAAGAGCTGTGACTCTTAGCCGCATTACTCTTAACATTGATCAACAGCAGCTGTCTATTACAGTTTGAAAGACTTCTGTATGCTCTGTTGTCATATAATCATATTTTTATTTTTGTTTTTACACTTCACTCTTAGCATCTCGGTGGCTCAGTGTATCAAAAATTCTACCTGTGATTAATTGCTATATGAACAATTTTGTGACAATAAATTGTTCATAAATTGCCTTTGTGATGTGAATTAGGTGGTATTGTTGTTGTACTTTTTTCCTGAAAATTAGGTCTCCCCAGCCACCTCCTCCAGCTTGTCCGTGGAAAACACCAAGGCATTCCCAGGCCAGCCGAGAGATATAAACTCTCCAGTGTGTCCTGGGTCTCCCCCGTGGCCTCCTCCCGGTGGGAAATGCCCAGAACACCTCACCCAATAGGGTGTATATAGCGTTTTTCTACTCTCCTGGAGTACTCAAAGTTCTCTGCATTCACCTCATACACACCCATTCACACAAGCACTATTATCTAACTATCATTCATACGCATTCATACTTCATATTTGGCATGATAACCTGGGGGAGCCAGCCACCAACCTTCCGATCAGCAGCTGACCTGCCCTACCTCCTGAGCTACATCACTGCAGCAGCACTAATCCTTTTGTCGATCTCTCGTTCCTTTCTCCCGTCACTCGTGAACAAGACCCCGAGATACTTAGGCTACGTCTACACTTATCCGGATAAATTTGAAAACGGCATTTTTGTCTAAAAACTCCACGGCCACACTATCGTTTTCAGTTGTTTCGGAACAGTTGTTCATCCACACTGAAATGACGGAAAACGCTTACCTTCCTGTATTGCGCATGTGTGACACATAAGACAGTTCGACCTGCGCAATTTCTGTCTGCCATTTATTTACTTTGCGGCTCTTTGAAACGTCGCGGCAAAAATGTTGAGGAAAAGCATTACGTTTTTTAAATGGACTGACAATGAGGTGGAGTTGTTGCTGCGAGTAATATAAAAGTACAACGATGCAAAAGCAAGTGAGAATTAAAGAATTTGAAGAAAAGCTATCTGGAGCACGTACCACTGACATTAATCTTTGATAGGGCTGTCAAAGTTGAGAGCAAACAAAACAACTGCTGTATAATGCTCTCCACATGACTGCATCATATGACTAAAATGCATCATTATTTTTGAAGGGCTCCGGGTTCACAGTCCACACTGCGACGGGAAAACAGCACTTTCAAATATATATCCGCTTTGGAGATCGTTTTCAAAAAGCTCAGTTTTCCTTGACCAAAAATGCCGTCTCAGTGTGGATGGAAGGCCAAAACGGAGAGAAAAATATGCGTTTTCAAACAAAAACGTATTAGTGTGGACATGGCCTTAAACTCTTCACCTTGGGGCCGGAGCTGATCCCTGACCCGGAGCAGGCACTCCACCTGTTGGGTTTAGATTTTATTATTGTCATTTGTATTAGGAAATATTTAACCATATATTCTTAGAGGTGTATAATCAATTGTGTAGTGATAGGTTGTGTGATCTTTAACAGGCTGCAAAGGCTTGGTGTGTATTCCACACTAGAATGCACACCCACATCCTGGGAGCACGGGAGAGGTCGTACCTTGTCTTCATTGTTTTATGGTAGGATTAACGTAGCTACGTCTGTTCTAGTCTAAGTGCTTTTCTGTTTAGATGAACTGCTAGACTTCCTCACCGGGGGGGGGTCTACCCTCTTCCTGACCAAGGATGTTTGCCTTCATGTTATATGACCCTTTGATCAGCAGTACCACACACACACACACACACACACACACACACACACACATACACACACACAGTATTCTTTGTTCACATGTATACCTATGTAAGATGCTATATGTTAATGACCCTATGCATATTCATGTAACCACAATAAAAGGAGTGCTATGGGGAGCCTGGCTGAGAGTCTGACAGAGGTCAAGTGGTGGAATGACACTTGGCTCCAGCCAGGTCTCCCTCATGCATGAGTAAACCAGAGAACTTTGGTGCCTTGAGTCTTGCTTTTTGCTGCGTAGCAAGTTGTCCTTAACGTTCCAGCGAATAGGTTTATGCTACGAACTTATCACCACCATGGCCTCGGATTTGGAGGTGCTGATTTTCATTCCCACCACTTCACACTCGGCTGTGAACCGTTCCAGTGCGAGCTGGAGGCCATCACCTGATGAAGCCAACAGAACTAAGGATTGAATGGCCCATAGCAATGGCTTACCACGACTACTTTATTCTTCCTCAGTCAAACAGCAGCACTCATGCAATTGTTTTGCCCCCTTAGCTCCAGGTGATCGTGATTGCCGTCCGGGGAGCGCACGCAGCTGCTTAAAGCTATAGCACCCAGATTACTTACAGCTACTTCCGTGCAACTGATATAAGATGCGGTAAGCTGAACAAAGCTGCAACCGTCTGTTTGTTGAAAAATAGTTACGTGACCGCACCACATTTTCTTGTTAGTAACGGGAACAGCATTGTAACGATAGAAATAGTAATTAGTTAGATTACTCGTTACTGAAAAAAGTAACGCCGTTGGTAACGCTGTTACTTGTAACGCCGTTATTCCCATCACTGCCAGCCAATAAAGTGTGGTCATGAGAAGAAGAGAAGAAATAAAATCACAAAAGTGACCTGGATCATATAACACTTGTGGACCAGTGCATTGCCTTATTATTTTTCACCTGATGAAACACTGAAGGACAAAGCCCATTACCCCAGATCACAGTGATGAGCCACTGATATCCTTCTTTCACAACCCTACAAGATTGCCATTTGTTTGGCCTTATTGAAATGTACCTCACTGGACTGCAGGGTCCTCTTGGTGGCACCCAGGTGGCTGTAGAAGACCTGGTTTTTCCACACTCCTCAGTCTGGTGCATGGGGACCTGCATGGAACCTAATATAGGGCTGCAGATGCTTAGAGCAGCTTTTTATATGTTCATCCTAGACAGGCCCTTGGATATTTTCTACCAGCTGAATGTGGCTTCTGGGCCCAAATTAGCTTCAGCTGCTCTGTCCTTGGCCTACTAGTAAGTTGTTCCTCATGACACTGCTGGTATAAGACATCTGCATTGTTTGCTGTCACTGGCAGTCAGGAGGGAATGAAACAACGGAAGTTACGAAGATAACCGTGGCTCTGTAAATTAATCAGAACATCACAGTGCAAGATTTCTGGAGACCAGCTGTAGGCTACCAGGTGGTTTTAGTACGCACACGAAGGTGGCCTACACTTCACGCATGAAGGAGCTTTTATTACTCTTTTACTTTTGTTATGCAGTTTTGTTTTTACGTCTGCAGATGTTAATCAAGCTCCTAGTTTTGTGTCACACTTTTAAATGTTTCTTTCTTGCTAAAAATGTTTTTCAACTGTTTAAGTTATTTTTTTTTAGATAAACGTTATACGAGTTGCTAGGAAAAGTTGTGTTTATGTGTGTATAATCCAATGTGAGAAAAAAGTAAAAACAAAAACAAAACATGAACAAGCCTCTGTTTTAGCTTTTTTGTGCATTTAGATTCACTGAATCACAGTTGGGGGAAACAGCAGTTAGGCAGAATGTTTTTCTTACAGCGCCTCAGGAACAAAACTTGTAAAACTGGTTTTGTGCCACTCAGCCTGTTGAAATGCTCCTCAGCAGACAGAAACAAAACAGGTCTTACTTTCGTGTCATTTTTGTATATTCTTTATTTGAAACGATACACAAGAGCTGAGCATGTTCCATTGCTTTGGTTTTCTACTGAGCACAAGTAATGGACGTATCTAAATGACGTCCTTGCAGCACCATCTGTGGGATTTGTATGCCGGTAAGATTTAGCCTGTGACTCAGATGAATGAAAAGGAAAGTAAATTTCTGCACTGTGGACCGGAGATAAGACGCCATTAGAAGGTGACAGGCATTTGGAGGATTTTAATCAGACAGTTCCAGAGGGAATAATTTGGTGAGTAAGAAAGAAGATCAAATGGCTGAAAAACTTCTCGAAAATTTCCTGAGCTGCCATGTGTGTTCAGAGACTTTCAGAGATCCTGTGTCTCTGACCTGCAGCCACAACTTCTGTTCAAGCTGCCTGCAGAAATTCTGGGAACAAACTAAAAACAAAAACTGTCCCATTTGTAAAAGAAAATCTTCAAAGGACTGTCCAGATGTGAACATTGCTCTGAAAGAACTTGCTGACTCTTTTGCTGACAGGCAGAAAGTCGAATCATCAGAGACAGTAAAGGGAGAAGAGAAATTAATGGTGGTCTGCAGTAAACACCAAGAAGAGCCTAAACTGTTCTGTGTGGATGAAGACAGAGCTGTGTGTACTGTCTGTGATTTTCCTCACCACCAGAGTCACAAAGTGGTTCCTGTAGGAGTTGCAGTCAGTGACCTGAAGGAGCAGCTGAAATCTGACTTAAAGTCTCTGCAGGACAAGAGGAACAAATACAAACAAGTGGAGGAAACATACAATGAAGTGATTGAACACTTGAAGAAGCAGCTGTTGTCCACAGAGAGGCAGATCAGAGCAGAGTTCAACAAGCTCCAGCAGTTCCTGAAAGAGGAAGAGGAGTCCAGACTGGCAGCTCTGAGGGAGGAAGAGGAGCAGAAGGGGAGGACTATCAGCAGAGAGATGAAGATGATTGAGGAGCAGATCTCCTCTCTGTCAGACAGCATCTCTGCTGTTGAAGAAGAGCTGCAGAAACACAGTGTGCCATTCCTCAGCAGTTATAAAGACACTCCAATCAGAGCAGAGCCAGAGCCCAGAGCTCAGTGTCAGATCCACAGCTGGTCTCAGGAGCACTGATAGATGTGGCCAAACACC